CCCCAAAACCCCAAAACCCCAAAACCCCATTAAATAAGAATATAGGATAATTTGATAACTGAAATGATGAAATTCGTAATTCATTATATTAAAACGTAAAATGATATTAAGATAATCAATGAGTAGCCTTTTTCTTTTGCATTTCTTCTGCCTTTTTCATTCCTGCAGCTAAATTGGCGAAAAATCCTCCCTCTTAGTTTTTAAGTTCATTGAATTTGCCTTCCTCGGCAACTTTACCATCCTCAATAACAGCAATTCTTGAGCATTTTTCAACTGTTGTGAGTCTATGTGCGATGACGATAGATGTTCTGCCGCCCATAATATTCTCTAGAGCCTACTGTACTTTTCTCTGCGATTCCTCATCAAGGGCACTAGTTGCCTCATCCAAAATGAGAATATTTGGTTTTCTGACTACTGCTCTAGCAATAGCGATTCTTTGCTTTTGGCCACCTGATAATTTACCACCTTTGACACCGCATTGTATCTCAAATCCATTGTGAAGAGTAATATCTTTAAGTTGATCTGGTCTTTCATCAACGTCTCCAGTAATGCCTTAGAATTTACCGGCATTTTGTTCCTTTTTCATTAATACTTCAAGAGCTTTGATGTTGCTTTGATACTTTTCTTCTCCAATTATTTCGATGATCGCATCATTTTCTCTTGTGTAAGCTTGATAGAGAGCAATTCCACTATCTTCAAATGCCATTTGTAATTCCTGAGATTCAATGAACTCTAAAGCATTTGCAACTTTAGCAGCCTCTCTAATTTCTGAATCGGCAGCATCATCTTTACCATAAAGAATGTTCTCTTTGATTGTGTAGTTGAAAAGTGTAGGTTCCTACATCACAAGACCCATTCTCGATCTAAGTTGCTTTAAGTTATATTCTCTTGCATCAACGCCATCAATTAAGACTTGTCCGTGGTCAGGATCGTAGAATCTCAACACAAGGTTAACTAGTGTGCTCTTTCCACTACCTGATTCACCGACAACAGCAACAGATTCATTGGGGTGAATCTTAAGATTAAGTCCCTTAAATACCCATTCATTTTTCCTTGTTGGATATCTAAACCAGACATCTCTAAATTCAATTTCCCCTCTGAATTTTGAAGCATCGATTGATTTAGCTTCTGGTTTAATATCTACGGCATTAATTCTAGTTGGTAAATCGATAAATCCAAATATAGTCAAACCAGCTTTTTTAGCTTTTCCAATATCTGGTCCGAATTAATTTGCCTGCCCAGCAGCAAAGGCTCCGAACATCATAGCGAATGTAGCTTAGAAAACATTTTCACCAGTTGTATCAGGACTGTGATAGTTGAATTAAGCACCTGCCCAATAAAGCAATGCAAAGACGGCATTTTGAACAAACTATGAGAATCCAAACCAAAATCCAATACAGTGAGCTTTTCTCATAGCGGTTTAAGCTGGCAAATCAATATATCTTTTGTATTATTCAATGAGTAAGTTATCATGCCCAAAGCTAGCAACAGTCCTGTAGTTATTGATTGAATCTCCTGCTAAAAGATTAGCATCTTTATATGCATCCTCGTCAACACTTGTCATACCAGCTTAAAATTTGGCATTGATTGATCCACCAAGCATCATGAAAGGAACACAGCCTAAAGCGACTAAACTAACTTTCCATGAGAAGACAAAACCAAGAATGATACCACAGCAAATAGCGAATAGTGACTCAAGCATAACAGCGAGACCCTCAGTGCTTGCACCGTTAAGAGTCTGAACATCACTTGATAAAACTGAAGTTAAAACTCCTGGTGCATTATCTCTTTTATCGAACCAGCCCAAATGTTTCTTTAAGAGTGAGGCGTACAATTGCTGTCTAATATTGAAAGTAATGTTTTCTCCAATAATTCCAAAACTGAACTTTTAAGAGAAGGTAGTGATTAGACAGACAACAGCACAGAGGAACATGTAAAGACACCACTCATCTGACATAGATCTCAACTTATTCTTATCAAGTTGCATAAGTGAAAACAGCATCTTGGTGATAAAGATACCAAAAGTTGGGAAGATACATCCCTAAATGCAAGACATGATGAGACCAATGACTATGTTAATAGCTGGTTTGTTGTAGGGTGAAAGCCTTTTCATAAAACCGTCTTTTTCAATCTTTTTCATAAGGTTAGCCTAATCTTGATCGACTTTTTCGTCAGTTTTATCTGATCTATCTTTCATCTCATTCTCATAGTCTAATTGCTTCTGCTCTTTTTCTACTTAGACAGTACCTTTTCTTGGGATCAAAGTTGCAATACTATCCCTAGTCCCTTTCATTGAAACTTTCTTTTCTGGAGTCCAATCATCTTTCTTAGTGGGACTTGGATTTTGTTGCATATCTTTTCTTGCTTAACCTGTTGCATATTCTTCATTGTACTTAACTTTGTTCTCCTGTTCAATCTAATCTCCATTGGAGAAGGTGCTATCTAAGTCAACTGGCTTACCATCATCAACTTATTCTTGCTATCTGACTAACTAGGAATAGATACCTTGTGGGAATTATTTCAATAGTGAATCATGATTTCCTTTTTCAACAATCTTTCCCTTTTTCATCACAAGAATTGTATCAGCATTCTTAATGGTTGAGAGTCTATGGGCAATAACAACTGTTGTTACTTAGCCAAGCTCTGCTCTAATTGCATCAATAGATGCTTACACCTCAGCTTCATTCTTCTTATCAAGGGCAGATGTGGCCTCATCAAATATAAGAATTTTGGGGCGTTTAATGAAAGCTCTTGCAATAGCAACTCTTTGCTTCTAACCTCCAGAAATTTGTCCTCCAGCTGCACCTACATGTAGGTCTATTCCTTGTTCATGCTTTTGAATGAATTCCCAAGCGTTTGATTTCTTGAGCGAGGTCTCTATTTCTTCATCAGTTGCTGTGGGTTTTCCTAGTTTAACATTCTCTTTGATTGTTGTATTGAATAAGATTGGTTCCTATCCAACGTATCCAACTTTCTGTCTAAAATCTCTCAAGTTCAAATCTTTCAAATTTTAACCGTCAATTAATACTTAACCTTCTAAGGGATCGTAAAATCTTTCTATCAGTTAAACTATTGTACTTTTTCCAGAACCTGATGGCCCAACGATTGCAGTTGTTTTACCGAGTTCAAACTTAGCTGAGAAGTTTTTCAAGATCTAATTGTCAGGTCTGGAAGGATAGTAAAATGTTACATCCTTAAATTCAATCTCACCTTTTAATGCTTCGATTTTCTTATCTTAGTTTGAATCTTAGTCAATTAGTGGTTTTCTGTCAATAATATCAAAAGCCATCTTTCCAGCTACTCTTCCTTCAGCTACAGCCTTGAGGTTAGGAGTAGCCATACCCATTGAGAACATTCCAAAGACAACTCCGAAGAAACATCCAAGAACATCTCCGGCACTGTACATTCTTTTAGCAGAATCGTTTCTGATATCATTATAGATCCAAACGCTTCCCATATAGAAAGAATAAGCATAAGTTGCAAATATTGATGACATAAAGAATGCAATAGTTAGTGAGCCTTTAAAGTGTGTCTTGATACCAGCAGACTTAGCTCTGTTCAGATATTTGCTATAGTTTTTAACCTCTCTGGTTTCTTGTCCATAAGCAACAACGACTCTTATAGCATTAAGAGCTTAATCGGCGTAGCCCGCACTTTAACCATATGCCTTCATGTTTTCTTGGAAACCTTGCTGCATGACCTTAGTAACAAGTGAGGTAGAGATACTAATGAAGGGAAAACTTGCCAATACAACCAATGAGAAACTCCATCCTTTAGAAAATGCGAAGGTCAAACCTGCTACTGTCATAGAAAATGCTAAAATGATGGTGCCCATTTTTTCTCCCAGTGCCTTCTATATAGCTTATATCTCCTTGCCTAGTCTTGATGATAGTTCACTAGGATTAATTGTGTCAAACCAGGCACTTTCTTATTTCAAGATACTTTAAAAGTACTTGACTCTTGTTTTAAATGCTACACTCTCACTAAAGATTAGCAGGCAAGTGTAGTTTATATATGAAAAAATCCATACTGCAATACCAATGCATGTGAAAAGCAATGACATAAAACTGATAGTGTCTAGCATATCCTCTGGTCCTGACTTTGTAGTATCAAAGGAATCAATGACATTTCCGATAAGAAAAACAAATGATGGCATACCACAACCGGCGATGGATGCAGATAGCCACCCTACGATCATTAGGGTCTTATCTGATCCAGACGCCAATGAGTACAGCTTGCCATAAGGCACAGAAGGGCCAACAGTATTTGTTCCAGTTCTTTCCCTGTTGATAGTTGAATCAACTTATCTAATTAAAACCTCCACTGGGCTTTGGCCTCCTTATTTCGATAATAGGTTACCATTTTCTGAGTTTAAATGCTCTACTCCTTTCATAATCGAGTACTTGTGGTTAATACTTAATTAATTACGTAATTTATTAAATATAATAAAATTCATATTTAGTGTATAAAGTTAATTAGAATGTCTTAAGCTATCATTTTTGCTTTCAAAATAATTCAATTTCCACTTTTAATTTCAATATATCTATTGTCAAGCTCATTTCTGGAACTAACCCTGTAATCCTTTTCAGATTACTTAAATTAAACATATCTACTTCTTTGAGTAATGTAAATATAATCTATTGTGAATTATAGATTATTATACTAATCGAATCTCTTCTAATGATCTAGATATTTGCAATTATTTGAAATTATTGTTGAAATATCATAGTTTAATTATTTTTATAGAATTTTTACGTAAAATTTTCTCTCTTTTAAATTGTTTAGATCATCAATAAAAAGTTAAGGATTATCATAAAAGCAATTAATTTGTAATTTTATTGACTCAACTTTTTAATTCTTTTCAAAAATGAGTTACTCAATTTTTAAAAGATAATGAGTTAGTAAATTTTATTGTCATTCAGATTGAGATATCTTGAATTTTAATTTTAACACTTTCAGTTAATCAAATTTGCTTAACCAAAATTTAAGTACTTCCAAATTTTTGTGAGTTGTCAAAGTGTCACAATCAATTTTGAAATCGGATAAGATATTACAGGAAGTAAATTGAATTTGACTTTTCCATAGTTTTGTTCTAATTTCTAATTTTAATCGAGTCATTAGCCTAAATATGAAACTTTATATTAAATATCTTTTTAATCTAAATGAAGAGCTCTCTTAAACATCAGTAACTTTTTCCTTAATAATTATCTTATACTTAATTTTTTAATCATTTCAGTAATAACTCTCATTCACTGCAAAATAATGATCAAAGTTAGGATCTAATATTGATTTATTGCAATTCAATAGAATATTCAAGAACTATAATTCTTTAGGGTATGTATTGTTTTTATATCCTAGAAATAATTGTTAAAATGACTATATTTTATGTAAGCTCTCTTTTTCATGAATTTGGATATAAAATGAATTTGTGTGCATATACCTATTATGACTATCAAATTTTAAGTACAGATCATAGCTGATTTTTTAAGTTCTAAATTTATAGCAAAAATCGATAAGGCTCTCTAAATGATATTTTTCAATTACTGCTCCCATTCTAATAGATACAACTTTAGCAATTTTAGTTATATATTTTTATTGTATTAAATCTTAAATTATCATAGAGTCTTTATTCAATTTGTAATTGAACTTATTTTCTAGGATTTTAGATTCAATAATCACTTATCTATCTGCTTTTGAAATTTTGAGATACTTTGATAAAATCTCTGATTCTTCAAAATATAAGTATGCAGATAGTCTGATATATTTTGGAATAATTAGATTCATTTTAATAATATTAATAGATTCAGTTACTATATTTATATTAAAATAGATTTCAATTTCAAGCTAGATATTTAAAATCTGAATATTCGGGGTTTTGGGGTTTTGGGGTTTTGGGG